AAAGATTAATGAAAATACTCTTGCTTACAGAGATGGACGATTAAAGTAAGTAAAATTCATGTTTTATCTATCAGTTTATTTAAATTATGAATCGATTTTATTAGAGTATATGATATAATACTGAGTGTTAATGATATTAATTTTACAAATATTAAACGTGACGAAGCTCTGAATATACTCAGAAGAGGAGGATCGAAAGTACAATTGGTATGTAAAACATGATAAATATAAAAAAATTAAGATTATTACCCTTTTGAAAAATATTTTATGCAGCTAATACGTCGTTTATCTCCACCGATAACTAAAAAAATCGATATACAACAGCATGATGGAAAGCTAGGCATTACACTTAAAGGTGGAATTGGTACTCAATTTTATCCAAAGTAAATATTACGAATAGTCTTATATATACACATATAATATTTTTTTTTCTTTATCATTTGAGTGATCATGGTATCTTTATTACGAATACATGTCGACAACAAACTGGTACACAATTAGAAATAGGTGATCGATTATTAGAAATTGCATCGACGGTATAAGATGAGGACATTTTTATTTATTTGATATACATTTATTTTTTTCAGAAAAAACAATATGATTTACGATTTGTTACACGCGAACGTGCAATAAAATCTATAGAATTAGCATGTAAAGAAAGTCAAAAGGTTACATTAAGTGTTGGACGTGCCAAACGTATCATTCCAGTGTAAAAATAATACAAATACGACTGAAATATAAGACATTTTTTTTTATATCTTTCTTAGACAAAATCAAAAATCGGATTCATGTCTTAATGAACTTAATTCTACCGACACGAAAAATAAAGGTAATTTAAATGTCGTATTCATTATATTTACTCATTCAAAGAGATTCTTCTTTTATGCTTTCTAAAAATCAAGACATGAGTAAAGTGCATGTTGGTACACAATATGCGACCACCAATGGTATACGAAACGAACGAAAACTATGTAATACAAGTGGTAATTATTCACATGAGTTATTAACAATACAACAAGGACAATCATATGCTATCAAGTGAGTACAATACCAAGAAAAACTACTCTATTTATACAACATTTCAAAATTTATTTAGATTGATTACACCATCGATAAAAATAGATTTGATTTATGATCATGAAGACAATAGAAATACGTTAAAGGTCAGTATAGATCAACAGAAAAACTTAACTATAACGCCTGATTTACACATTCGTCCAAAAATATCCTCACCTGTATTCGTTTGTTCTATTCAAATTTCAATATAAATAAAAAGATGTTTTTGTAGGTAAGCGATTTTATTCAAGATACAGATCAACGACAGTTGGAGCTGGAAGAAGCAACTAGACGTAAGTAGTTTCCTTACTGTTATGTCTTGTATAATATTTTCTTACTGGACGATTTTTATATAGAGAAGCAAAGATATCAAGAAAATTATATTAGCTCGGAAGCATACAAGAATAAAGAAAGTGAAACAAATGATGATAACGAAAAATTAAGAGTAAGTTAGAATATTTCTAAAATAATCTATTATAAAAATTATGATTTCTTATTGTCAATTATATTTAGAGACGATATGATGATACTCTTGTATAAATTTGAAAATTTTAACTCAATCATTTTCAAGTTTATAATAAATTATCTGATACATACTTGATTTTTTTAATGAATACTTTTAACTGTAATAATTATTATTATTATTATTTAATATTTTTATTCATATTATCATAAAAAATAATTAAATTGAAAAAGAACCTCATGTTGAAAAATAGTGATTTATATTAGATGCAATGATATTATGAGCGATTATGCAGGATGTATGAATAGGATCTTTGGGAGGATAAAGACGTTATATGAACATCAGTATTTATTTTATCAGATTCACATTCCTAAAACCTAGTGTAATAATTGATCTGGACTAAGATCAAAAGAAAAAGTAGGGTGTGAATGTGCACCTATATCTTCAAATTGTCATATGAAATAAGTATAATACAACAAATTAATATACTTATTGAAGAAATCGAATTTATTCTGTTCATCAATAATATTTCAAAACAACAAAATTAATTATGTTATAAAAAATAAGAAATATCTAAATTTATTAATTATTTTCATTTGGGTGTGGGTGTGAGTGGATGTTATCTCTAATTAATATCCACCCACACCCACATCCCACGCCCACACATACGCCCCCAAGATGCACACCTTCAAGATAGAAGCCATCGAAGCTAATATTACTGATGTAAAAAGAAAGCCTTAGACCATATTCAATGATGTTATTTATTTGAATGGAATAAGATTAGAAGCAAGGTGAGTAAGGAAACTCATCTATTTTACCTTCACATCCTGTGGTATTATAATTACGGATAAAACAGACCACATGATGGCTTAGGAGTTAAGTCACGAATGATACGAAAAAATTGTTGATTTAAATTGAAGCCTACTCATTATTTAAGTAATTGTAACAGTTGCAAATTCAGTTGATAAACAGCAGTGGTAATCAGCCAACCAAAAACTAATAACATATGTATCACCGACAACAGTAGAGAATGTTTGACTTATCGTATCACCATACAACGTGCATGGATCGTAGTAGTAATAATGCCCTGAGTTGGCATCAGAACAGCCAGAGTCAGCCATTCCTGTATTGTAGCCACACGAACCTGAGTGATTCCATGCGTTTAAATTACCTGTTTCAAAACCTCCATTGATAATCAATTGTGTGATGCCATGATAGACACTAACATCATCTAACATCCAACCACCGAAATCTTGACGAAAAAAGAAAGACAATGTTGCCGATGCTCCAGTGGCCATCCAAGTATACGCATAACAATCGTAAGATGGATAGTTATTTGACTGTGGATGGATAATGCTAAGTAGCACACCAGTCGATCTTGATTGAGGTGAACATGGTGGAGTAGCTGTTACTAAATCAAAAATGATTTATCTAATAAGAATATTAAATATAGAACAAAGTGCATAAATTGATAAATAATGAAAAAAGTTGTCAACGTTAGTTTTATTCCAGAGAATGAACTTCACTACTAAATCTATTACGCATAAATAATCGATTAACTTTTCTCTTTCAATATACAGTTTATTTTTCTTAACAATAAATGACACATACGTTTGCAGTGCCATAGTATCAGATGAGAAAGCAAGAAAAAAAAGAACTTTACCGGTTGTTGTTGTTGTTGTAGTTTTTGTCGTTGTTTTTGTTGTTGTTGTTGTTGTTGTTGTCCTTGTTGCCGTCGTTGTTGTTGTCGTTTTTGTTGTCGTTGTTGTCGTTGTTGTTGTTGTTGCCGTTGTTGTTGCGACACCTAAAACCAGCAAGGTCTCAGTAAATTCAACATTTGAAGAAATATATAAATCACACCTTGTATCGAGCTCGTTTCCACACTTGAAATTGATGTTGTTTCTTGATCTATAGTTGAAGAACATGCTGGAATTAGTTCTAAGAAAAACAAAATTACATAGCTCCATTTATTTTATTCTACAAAAGATGCATCTTACGATGATCGTTTTTATAACAAATAACAGTTGCAGACGTATTCCCCGATGATTTTATTGAATCTGTGTTACAAACATCTGCAAACATTGAACAAATATCTTCCTTTTTGAAATGAACTGCTGTTTGACAATAATACTCATTAACACATGCACGAATACATTCGTCAATTGATGAGTGATTTGGTAATGAATTATTAGCAATAAAAGAACAGGAAATATTCGATTGATAAATCGATTTTCGATAAAGTTCAACGGTTACAAGAGAATTTATCATA